AACTAATTAAATACAAAAACATATAAAAGCAAAAAACATACATAATTAATAAAATTATTTCTAATAAAACGATAAAATAGAAAATGTAGAAGAAATTTAAAAACACTACCCAAAACAATGTCAAGCATAAATTACAAAATATTTATCTACTCATAAAATAGAATCATCAAATAAATAATTTAAAACATCGTGTAATTTTTTACGAACTCATTGTTATAAACTTACCAATGCAAGCACGAGGTCCGTCTCCAAATGGCATATACACATGCTTGTTTTTAGGATCAAAGTTTTTGGGATTGAACCTTTCCGGTCTAAACTCGCTGGGGTTATCAAAGTATTTGGGGTCATTTTGCAGCGCTTGTAACGGTATGTTTATGAGTACGCCTTCATCAATCGTCAGATCGAGTTCCTTAAAAGTGTACTTACGCGAGGATTTTCTGATTAGGAATCCCAGAGATGGGAATATTCTCATTCCTTCTTTAAGCGCCCATTCAAGGTACGTCATTTCTTTGATAGCATCATAACTGAGTTTATTATTATGATTTGCTAAGACTCTATCTATTTCATTTTGCACTTTGACTTGTATCTCAGGGTTGTAGGCGAGCTCATGCAGCGTGAAACTTGTGGCTGAAGACGAGGTTTCAAATCCTGCTGCAAAAAATACAAATACTTGTGCTGCAAGCAATTCATCGTCCATTTCCAGTGTGGTAGTTTCAGGTGTACCATCCGGTTTAAATTTTTCAATCGACTCTCCCACCATCGTTCCTTTCTTCTTACACTCCAGTAAAAGATCTATAAAGTCATTTCTACCAGAAGGTTGATAATTTCTCTGTTTTAAGACTGCATTTACCAAGGTAAATATGCCCTTCTCTGCTTTGGCCAATTCTTTCAAATGCTTAAATAAACTAGGAAATAGATCTTTCAAAGCTAATACAAACATTTTTTTTCCGTCTACTTCAAATATTTCATTTCCTAGTTGACGAAATGCTGAATTTTCATCCTGCAGCGAATCAGCGTCGAGACCAAACCCGCAGGCACCAATGAAATCTGTAGTGTATCGTGCCATCAGGTCTCGGGCATCGATTTCCTGCCCCGCCGTGGCGACAGATAGCAGGCGCGATTGTAGCCGCTCGGCGCGCTCTACGATGAGGGGGAACATAGCTTTTAGCTTGCCACTCGTGAAGGCCGGTGTCATGCGCTGCCGCAGCAGCCGCCATGTGTCGCCGTCCGCGAAGAACAAATTTTTAAGTAGGGGTTCTATTACATCTTTATGTTTGTTCAGACCTCGGGGATAAAAGTAGGCGAAGTCGTTGACAAGTATTTGTTTCGCGATCTCCGGGTCTCTGATTATAAGTTCAGGACGAGACGCCCGGTAGAACCCCACGACTTTCTCCGTCGGGAACTTCCAATATAACTCCACAGCTAACTCAGTTACACTTTTTCGCATCAAATAATTTCTTGCATTATTACCGAATAGAGGTAAAGGCCTATCGTGTTTCACTCCTTTTTGCTCCCAATATTTATGATTTCTCGTCCCGTATATATATAAAGTAAGAATTAATACTATTACTAAAGCTAATGTAATCATTTTTGACAAAAGTGACCTTTACGCACAACGGTTAATAATAGAGATAATAAATAAATAATTCTGTTAAGGTTTTTATCGAGTGTTTACGATTACAGTGCGTTTTACAACGTAGGTTTGTAACTATGAACTGCACGTACCCGCGAGCGCGATCAGACTGAAGTAACAATACCGAGAGGGGCGTTACACATCCTATCTATACTATTAAATGGGCAATATATACATATATAGATATTTGTAAACAAGTTCTCGAAATCGGCTCTAACAATTTCGATGAAACTTGCAATAAAGAGGTTTTCGGGGGCGAAAAATCGAACTAGCTAGGTCTCAAGTCTATTCTAGGTCCTTTAAGCCGCGTACAAATGTCTGCATAGTGATTTTTCTATAAAGATCACGTTTCGCTTCGATTGTGGTCGTCAAGATCGCATGTAATGTAACGTAAGTGGTGAAGACAAGGTTGCGCTTGACATTAGTGCGTGAACCTGAGCGGGGGGTGCGGGGGGTGCGGGACGGAGAGAGAACGGCAGCGGATCGCTGATCGATCTGCAGAACGACTTCGCTCACGTTGATATTCGCATCGATATATTGTCGGGTTAGCACTGTATGTAGTACTTACCTACTTATTAAACCAATTTTGTACAGTCCACTCTTAAGTTTATTCTCTATACGGTAGTCAGTTTTCCCTAAAGCGTAATGTACAGGGCACTGTCCCCATCATAAGTCATTATCGTATTGAATAGCGTCTGACAATGGCTATAAAATTCCTGACCTGAGAGGTCATTGTATAAAGCTGTTTCGTCCCCTCGCGTTGACCAGAACCTTTTCTGTACGCTTTTTTTAGACCTACATTTTTTTATTAAATTGTTTTGATATTTATCTCTTAAGTTTTAGCTAATGTAAGCAAGCTATTAAAGCGTACTAAAACTATAGTTATCGTGGTCAAAATATTTACAAATTATATACACAAACCTTTCTCGTTTATCGCTCATTCTTTAATTAAAAAGTTTAATGAATCTGCTGCGTCGTTTAAAAGAAGTAATAGAGAAACAGACAGAAGTAGACATACATTGTATTATATACGTATAGATGAGCGACGAAATTTTACATTTTTCCATGAAAACGAGAGATTTGACTCCACTCAATTGTTAAATGTGCTAATTATTATAATATTACTAAAAGTTTTTGTGTAATAGATTTCTATGAAGGACAACTCGGCCGAAACAGTTATTGTGTTTTCCCGTCGGAATGAGATTTTCCTGTAAAAGTAAAAGGAGCATGTTCTGTACTTTTTGCGTGAAATGCACACTGATATACAGACATACAGACAAAAATTTCATCAACTATTATTTTGGAGTTACATCAAGTATGTCATCACGGAAATTAATGCATATATTACCGTGATGTCATTTTGTATACAATACGTAACAGTCATTGTTTTCAATCGACTTCAAAAAGGAGGAGGTTCTCAATTCGACTGTATGTTTTTTTTTTATGGTTGTTACCTCAGAACTCCGTCATTTATTAACCGATTTGGACAATTTTTGTTTTGTTTGAAAGGGTATACTTCCAGATTGGTCCCATTTAAATTTCAAAAAAAAAAACACCACCCCTAAGGGTGGAAAAACAACTAATGATGAATTTAACCTACTTCTAATTGTCATATTGACTTGAAACTTTGCAAGTATTTCTATTTCCGTTGATAGTACAGTGGTTCGGTGTTGTTGACCTGATCTGATGGCAAGGCCAGAAGGTGGATAGGTGGAACTCTTCAACGGCTAATAGTAGATACTTTGAGTTTGGGCTTACTTTGTTTGATTTGACAAGCCTAACACGTTAGAATCCTTACTATGCTACTACTGTCTACACTAAAAAGGGAAAAATAAAAACTTTTTAACAAAAAAATAAAAACCGACTTTAAACAAAAGCACTAAAAAGTAAAAAATAACTGATTGGTAGTTTTCATTTACTATACATACCTAATCAAATATTTTCGAAGTCGGTGTGCTTTGGCTAAGTAATTAAAGCCTATCTATTAAATACATACCTAATCAAATATTTTCGAAATCGGTGCCAGCCCATACAAAGCAAAGCACACCGACTTCGAAAATATTTGATTAGGTTTGTATAGTAAATGAAAACTACCAATCAGTTATTTTTTACTTTTTAGTGCTTTTGTTTGAAGTCGGTGTTTATTTTTTTGTTAAAAAGTTTTTATTGAAAAAACATTTCATATGCAGATTTCGCTTTGTTACTAAGTATTTTATTATATGTATAGGTGGTAGTTAAAATATCAAAGCTATTAGAGTTTTTTAGATTACTAACATATTAACCGTCATCACTTATCACTATCAATTCTGGTCTGAGTAAATATAAGTAACCAAGTAGGGTTTTTTCTGATGTGTCAAATTACTGATACCGTTCATGCTTAGCATCTTTTTTTTATTAGATCATTTTTTATTAGAACTCAAAGGCTTTCGTTTTGGCGGCGTTGAAATCAACCAGATTGTCATCACCCCATTGTGAGACAAGACTTAATTAAGGTCGCATTTGTACGCTCCACCATGGCCTCTCTCAAAGTACTTATTATTACAAACAAAGGGGTTTTACTAAAAAAGGCTTGCAACCTATGGATTATTGGACAGGGATTCCTGTAATAGAAAAATAATTTCCTTAAATAATTACCATTTTAGAGTTATCAATAATTTTTTAAGTTTTAGTTTTTCTAATTGAAACCTTAACTTCAAGAAAGGTTTATTTTTTTATTTTGCTAAAATGCTTTCCGTTTTAGTGACAATGTTTCAAAGTTGACAACATTTATGAAATGTTAGAATTCCGTCGAATTAAAATCAGACTATAGTTATTATGATACTGAAACGCTGTCACAACATATTCATTAAATATTTACGCACACACACACGCACACACGCACATACACACACTCTCTCACACACAATACACAAACACATACACACATATACACGCTAATTTTTATTTCTACAAAAATTTGAAAAACTATTATATTGTACCAACTAATTTATATCTATATTAACTTACCTATTTTTTGTTTGTTTTAATTTATCTATTTAAGTTTGTTGTATTATAATCAGATTAAAGATTAAATTACGTTTTTTTTATGAAAGGGCGGGGTCTCCTAATACAGGCAAATTATTTGCTTAAAAGGGGACCTCAACCACAAAATTTGTCAAAACTACAATCTCTTTATGCAAATAAAATATTATTATTATTATACATAATATGTATGTAGATACGTAATAAGACAAGATTTATTTGGGTACGGATAAAGAATGATGAAAAAAATGTACATTTTAGAAAAAAATATTTATTAATGGATCGTTTCTATCCTCTAAAGGTTAACTAAAAAAAATAGTACATTCGCATGTCTACAAGAGGGTTAGTCTGAAGTGGCCGCTTGCTTGGGTGTCCTCTCGGTGAAGAGCAGCGGCAGTCCGCCTCGTACGGCCTGCACGACACTGGAGCCGGGGTTGACGCGCGGGCGGCGGCGCGAGCTCGGCGCGGGCCGCACGCTGTAGCGTGACAGCACGGCCGCCAGCCCCGCCACGGACTGCATTAGGCCCAAGCGCTCGCCTACAATTTGTTTATTTATTTGTAACAACTATACTAAATATTACATTACTAGAGACTTACCTAGTACGACATATATCTAAACGAACGGTCCGATTCAAATAATTTAAAGAGGAATTACATACTTAATCGACCTTGTAATAGTGAGACAATTCATAAAAGTAAAGTAAAAGTTAAAATAACCGTTTTGTTTCGAAATAGCTTCGCGGATAGTAATACTATGTATGTTTCTGCGTCAACTGGTTCTCATCTTTTTATTAACCCCCGACGCAAAGAGGAGTGTTATAAGTTTGACGTCGATATCTGTCTGTGTGTGTGTGTCTGTCTGTGGCATCGTAGCTCTCAAATGGATGAGCCGACTTCGATGCGTTTTTTTTTCATTTCAAAGCCAGTTTCCTTGCGGTGGTTCTTAGCTATGTTTGGTTAATATCAGTCCAGCAGTGTAAGAGTATCAGCTCTTTTCTAAAATGATGTAAGGCATTTTGGCGTATGATTACTCGATTAAGTGCTTCACGCGTGCCAATTTAATCGTTAAATGACAATTAATTTGCGTCGGTGTTTTTTTTAATTTTTAACTTATTTCGCTTCATACCGGTCGATTTTTTTTATTTTAGTTGTAAGTTATTTTTTTATTTACAGCGTTTTAGTTTTGACAATTAGACGTTTTTTGTTTTATTTAACAATTTCTTATCCTAAATTATATTTAAACATATTTGTTGTATAGATATTTTTGTAATCGCGTCTTAAAAACCTGTATTTCAATACCCCACTCAATTGATTCGAACGAAAAATTTTTTTTCAAGACGCACTAATGGGCCCTTAGATCTGCCCTACTTTATTTTTAGGACGTAGGTACATAAGGACGAACCCAAGTGAAGTGTGGGTGATTCGCTTGTATATTTAATAAAAACATTGTATACCTACATTTTTACGAACTCTATATTGTAAACTTACCAATGCAAGCACGAGGTCCGTCTCCAAACGGCATATACACATGCTTGTTTTTAGGATCAAAGTTTTTGGGATTGAACCTTTCCGGTCTAAACTCGCTGGGGTTATCAAAGTATTTGGGGTCATTTTGCAGCGCTTGTAAAGGTATGTTTATGAGTACGCCTTCATCAATCGTCAGATCGAGTTCCTTAAAGGTGTACTTACGCGAGGATTTTCTGATTAGGAATCCCAGAGATGGGAATATTCTCATTCCTTCTTTAAGCGCCCATTCAAGGTACGTCATTTCTTTGATAGCATCATAACTGAGTTTATTATTATGATTTGCTAAGACTCTATCTATTTCATTTTGCACTTTGACTTGTATCTCAGGGTTGTAGGCGAGCTCATGCAGCGTGAAACTTGTGGCTGAAGACGAGGTTTCAAATCCTGCTGCAAAAAATATAAATACTTGTGCTGCAAGCAGTTCATCGTCCATTTCCAGAGTGGCAGTTTCAGGTGTACCATCCGGTTTAAATTTCTCAATCGACTCTCCCACCATTGTTCCTTTCCTCTTACACTCCAGTAAAAGATCTATAAAGTCATTTCTACCAGATGGTTGATAATTTCTTTGTTTTAAGACTGCATTTACCAAGGTGAACATGCCTTTCTCTATTTTTGCCAAACCTTTCAAATGCTTAAACAAATAAGGAAATAGATCTTTTAAAATTAATACAAGCATTCTTTTTCTGTCTATTTGAAATATGTCATCTCCTAGTTGCCGAAATGCTGAATTTTCATCCTGCAGCGAATCCGCGTCGAGACCAAACCCGCAGGCACCAATGAAATCTGTAGTGTATCGTGCCATCAGGTCTCGAGCATCGATCTCCTGCCCCGCCGTGGCGACAGATAGCAGGCGCGATTGTAGCCGCTCGGCGCGCTCTACGATGAGGGGGAACATAGCTTTTAGCTTGCCACTAGTGAAGGCCGGCGTCATGCGCTGGCGCAGCAGCCGCCATGTGTCACCGTCCGCGAAGAACAAGTTTTTAAGTAGGGGTTCTATTACATCTTTATGTTTGTTCAAACCTCGGGGGTAAAAGTAGGCGAAGTCGTTGACAAGTATTTGTTTCGCGATCTCCGGGTCTCTGATTATAAGCTCAGGATGAGACGCCCGGTAAAACCCCACTACTTTCTCTGTCGGAAACTTCCAATACGACTCTACTGCCAACTCAGTCACACTTTTTCGCATCAAGTAATTTCTGGCATTATTACCGAATAAGGGTAGGGGCTTATCATGTTTCACTCCTTTTTGCTCCCAATATTTATGATTTCTCGTCCCGTATATATATAAAGTAAGAATTAATACTAATACTAAAGCTAATGTAATCATTTTTGAAAAAAAATTACCTCCACTCAAAACGATTTATACTACGTCGAGTGTTTACGATTACAGTGCGTTTTAAAATATAGGTTTGCAATTATTAACTGCACGTAGCCGCGAGCGCGATCAGACTGGAGTACCAGTATCGCGGGAGGCGCTATTTGTACGAGTACATATGAGTAATCTGTTAACGAGTGGATGACGAAATATCAAGAAAATATTTTTTTCATTTTTATCAAGAAATTAGAAGTCCCTCAGACTTCTAATTTCTTTTGAAATAAGAACTTTGCTTTTCTTTGAGTGAGCCTGAAGCTTTTGCTAAGGGACTTTAAAGGGAATTTTATAGCAAAAATATTATATTGGCTATTCAAGTTTTTACTTACTAACATGTAAAGTCTTCGTCTTAATACTGTTTATCAATAAAAGTTTGCAATGAATTTATAAGCTACAAAGCACAATATATTTAAATACAAACCTATATAATGTATCTTATAACATTAAATGAGCTGTATACCTATATGTAAATTTGTTTTGTGTAACTCGGAAATGGCTCGGAAACGCCCAGGTGCTACAAGAACGAATTGTCACATTTCTGACGGAGCATCACTTGAAGACGATTCGACCGATTTGGCTGATTCTTTTTCGTTGTGTTCGAAAATATCATAGGCCAGAGTCGATAATTTTTGAAACCAAAAAAATAATAATAGTAGGATGAAACCTATCGGAAAAGGAAGAGAATATAACAAAAATAAGAGAAAAAACAATTTACGGGCGATCTGAGTTCGGGAAGTGGGATGGGGTGGGTTTTTAAGAGTAAAAAACGATTTATCTCGATTTCCGACAAAACTACAAGTCCTATGGAAAAAAGTTAAATGACAATGTTGTAATGTACAACTTTTGAATTTACACTTTTTTCACATAACCTTTATCTTTTACAAAAACATTTTTCTTTTCACGAAATATGGTGAAAACTCTTTTAATGATTTGGTGAAAATCCGTTTTATGACCCAAAGATAAAGTAATTTTTTGATTTAAAATATTTATTTTTTCACCTTATTTTGACGTAATATCGAAAAAGCACCCTAATTTTCAATCGAACATTCTCGCGTCAAAATATCTGCTTTTTTTAAAAAGTCGGTGGTATTTTTATTCGTTGAAATCTCTACTTGGTATGGTATGGTGTAAAAATATACATTACTACGGTAACTTTTCTCAGGAAATGCAATCAATAAAGTTAATATTTAATAAGACATTTACAATATTTTGAGAAAGTTGTAGAATCTTCTTTAAATTATATGCGTAGATGCCTATTTATTGCTATTTTTACCCACGACAGAACTTAGTTTGGGGTGAGAGGTTGTTTGTTTGTGCAAATCCACGTTGCCATTTTTCTCCAAAACTTCTAGTCCGATTTTGATGCAGTTTTCAGTTATGTTTTCGGGTTTGATTGGTGCATAATCTTAGATAGGTGTTATGGTGACAACTCACCAGGGGGCGCTGCAGTAAACATTTGTTTGTGCAAAACCAAAACTACTAGTCCGATTTTGATGCGGCTTACAGTAATGGGCTTGTAGTTGATTAGTGAGGGTTCTTAAATAGGTGTTACGATAGTAGCTCACTAGAGGACGCTCAATGAATATATTTTATTTTATAATAGCTACTCCATAATAAGGAAACTCGATAGAACTCGATAGGTAAGTACTTCTGCAGGAAGTAGTGATGTAGAAACTAAAAATTCTTTAGAAAAAAAATATTAAAACATACGTCGTACACGATTTAAGCGCAAAAATGTATGTGAGACAAAAGACGAAGGCAACGTACATACATAATATTTATGCTCTCTAAAAAGTTTACAATAAAAACCAAAACTAAAAATTTTGAAAAATCCCACGACGCGACAGTTAAAAAGTAATTAAAAAGATTTTTAATTTAAAAACCCTCGATTTAAAAAACGCGAGATATACTCAAGCATATTTGTTAATATATCATAAAAAATGTAAAAAATGAACAAACATTTTTTTAATAAACTCTTTATGTCGATTTTTTCCTGAGATATTCGACTTTCAATAAAAAAAGGATCCTTCTGTTTTTTATCATCAATATCTTAGCATTTAATAGATGCACAGTAGATTAAAGGGTTATTTTTAAAATTTAAGTCATATTTCTAAAAGGACTAAAAGGATACATAGTTTAAGAAATATATATTTTTTTTATTTTTTACATTTTTTATGATTTTTCAACAAAACTATGACTAAATTTTATAAATATCAACTTAATGTTTTTAAATATATTTTTAACTAATGACTAATAAGATTAGAGTATGAATGAATTTCATTTCTTTCTGTGATTACCTTAAAATCAAATTTTTCAGAAACTCTGAAATCGATCAAAAACGAATAAAATATCGATAAATTCGAAAAAATTATAACATAAATAGATTCTATGGCAAAAAAATACAAAACCTCTTGTGTATTTTACGTGAATTCCAACTTTTATTATTTTTCACGACTCATCAAATTGAAAAGTTGGAATGTTTACGGCGACATTGTATAAATAATAAGCGTCAAATTAAAAAAATTAGGATACCATTTTTTTAATTTTTTCCTGAAAAATACATTGATCTAATCGGTTTATAAAAATTTGGTCAATACAGTGCACTTCTTCAATGATAATTGAAAAAATGTAGTTTATAATGTAAAAATTATCGATTTCTCCAATTTTTTTAATTTTTAAGGGGTTTTTTACAAGATGACCATACAATGTTTTTATATTTTCAAAAAGTAGAGTTAAGACGAAAAGAATGAGCCCTATCTAAAAATTGAACGATTTTTTTTTAAATGTAAACGCCCACTTGAAGTTGGGGGTGATTTTCAGCCTCTCGAGACCATAAAACATACTTTTCTCGGAAATGCCTAAACATTTCATTTTTTTTAATTTACTATATATATTTTGAAGATTACATCCCTTTAGTTTTGTGGAAATCAAAAGATTATTCTAGAAATAAAAAATAAACAACCAAGAAACAGTTAAAAACCGAGATTTTTGCAAATATCTCGAAAACTTTGAGGTTATTGTAAAAAAATGTTATTTATAAAAGTTATAGATTTCTACTAGACCTACAACTTTTGTTGAAAACATTTTTTGATAGAACGTCACAGTAAGCCGGAAATTGAAAAAAACTATTTTTCAACGCTTTGCGTCCCCCCATTTCTCGGGGGTAGCTGGGCATGTGGGGCATTTTACGAATTTCTATTCCTTATATACCTGCTAACATTTTAAAATGATAAAACTTCAGGTTTTCAATATTTTGTTTCCAAACCGGATCCCGACTGGACTAATAAATTAAATGATTTTTACAAATTTTGAATATATCATTTCCCATACCTTAAGAGAGACATGGAACGAATCCTTCATTCTTTAGAGGAGTTCAATTGAATTCAATTATCAAAGACGTCGATAAATATTTAAAAAAAAGAGCGTGTGTGTGTAATTCACACATGGTAGAAGTGAAACTTTAGAAAAGAAACCTACGAGAGAATGAGATGAGTAGGTATAGAGTATCAGGAGTGGGATAATTATAAGGTTTATTTTATTATAATTTTTTTACCAAGTTTAAAAAAGTTATTTTACATTTTATTTGACATAAATACACATTACATATTATTCAGTAATTATTTTTAATATTGTTCACTTCCTGTGTCATGTATTCTATCTCATTCTCTTGCCAGCTTAATCCTATATATTTATGTATTTGTCTCTTTTTAGTGTTGCATTTCTGTTTCATTATTTACATGCATATGTGTGTATTTGTCTGTGTATAAGATATACATAAGTTACATAAATAAACATAAATAAAAAACATAGTTTTAAGTCAGTTTATATATAAGTATGGAGATATAAACAATGGCTTAAAACTTAAAACAATGCATTATAAAGTGTGGAGTGACGTACGTGTGGCGCCCGCATGGCACCGCGCCGCTGCACACCCGTTGCACTGATGGTGACCGCGGTAGGGCATGGTAGTGGGTTCGATTTACAACGGGAGGACACAACTGTAAGGGTTGAGGCGGCGCGCCCGAGTCCCGCTCGCACGCAATACTTGACATGCGATCGTTCCCTACGTGTGTGGAGACTAGAGAACGATGCACAGTCCCACGCGCGTTGCTTGCGCAGACGCATGTGCCCCGAATGTGTTGAATTTAGAAACTAGTTCGTTTTAATCTCGCGAAACAAACTTGGTTTGAAAAATTGATGAATCTGACATTTTTGTGATTTTTTATTTTGAAAAAGTCAACGTTTAATAATCTAAAGGTAGGTAGAACGAATTTGAAAGAGAAATATATTTTATTTATAATAATCTCTAATCACTTTTTTTTATTGTACTCATTATAATATGAAAATCTATCTTAAATTGTATCAACACTTAGAATATTGGTCATAATATGTATCAATGTATGTAATAATAAAAAAATATGGTGGTTTATTAGGTAGATCTCAAAATCTTTCACGATCTGATTGTGTGAAAAACTCAAAAGAAACCCCTCAATGAAATACTGAAAATCATAAAATATATAACCACATATTATGAATAATATTCAATAGATATAGTATATATAATGTACTCCTTATAATTTAGTCGCGAAGTCCAGTGTGTAGGCGAGTGCAAAATATTTTGCCATTGTTAAACAACGAATTTGTGTAAGTCGATCTTTTTGAATAATTTCAATAAGAATCTGCATATATGCAATAATGAATGTAAATATGGTACATAACATAGATACTGTCCAACAATCAATTAGAAAAGAGGTAGGAGAACCTCTTTAGTCATATAGTTCATCACAAAAATTCTTACAATGATTCCCAATACCTAGCATATTAGAAATAGACAAGATAGAGCACTGTTTTAGGTTCTTTTAGATATCTGAAGAAAATTCCGTTTTAAGCACATTGTTCCTAAATCGTTGGCAAATTTTACTTAGTGATTGATAATGTAGTCCTACCAAGAATACTCGTATACTTTCTAAAAATATAATATTTTCTAAAGCCAAATGTTTTCTTAATTATATTTATAAATAGAGCTAGGCCGAGTCAATTCTGGCGGCTTCTGATCTACCTAATGAAACTGTTAGTGTCATCTGTCACCAGTCGATAGCTTGTCACTGAGGATCATGTCGGTTTAAAGTAATCAAAAGCGTTGATGTTTCATTTTCGTTTAATTAAATTATTTTAATTGCTAATTGAAAAGCACATAATTTGGCATAATATTCAAGAACTTGTATAAAAGCTCGAAGCTCAATATTTTATATATAACAGAAGTACAAAGTATTGTAGCCAACCAATAATGAACTTGTTGTTGTCAAATTTTTAAAGTAATCACGGGTATAGCAATAAGAAGCCTTTCGTCCATTAAATTCTGCCTTAATTTTGCGCAAGTACGTCACGGGTCCGTTAATAACTTTGTTCTAAGCGAACGTCTTAACTTAGATAACTTAGGTCTGTAGCGTTAACCGAGCGACATCTACCATTCGGATATATTAAATTGACATAATATAACTTGATGTTAACATGGCATGCCTCCTAGCTCTCTCTGGCCGTGCTGGCGGTGGTGGGACGGCAGCGGTCGCGAGGAGGACCCGCGTAACCTTTGCGTGATATTCCGGGCACGCTATATGCGGCGCGCGCGAAAATAGCACCGCGCAGACCGCTGCTTAGATTAGACCCGCCCTATATGGTCACGTATGCACATTTTCATCAATTTTACCACTGATATTGCACTATCATCACACCACCAGCAATGCTACAAAACAACAAACAATTTATGTCATAAATCCTAATTTATATAAAACTAGCATTGCCCGCGGCCCCGCCCGCGTTCAGATGACCAAAAACCAAATTCTTAGGTTTTACATATTAGTATACTCATACATTGCAGTTTTTGTATTTTTCCTCAGAAATGAGAAATTTTCCCGCGGTAAAAAGGTAAAAAGTATGCTATATCTTGACCCGGATAACCAGCTATCTCCATACCAAATGTTATCAAAATCCCTCCAGTGGTTTTCTGTGATGCGGTAACAGACAGATAGACAGACAGACAAACAGACAAAAATTCTAAAAACTATAGATTCGGCCTCTGTATCGATAATAATGTTTATTTTAATAAGATTTTCCAAAAAATATTTAATGTACAGATTCGTCTTAGTTACGATTTTATTACATGACGTATAGATTACAATCTGCATTTTGAAAATGAACCGTTCATTAAAAGATTTAGGTATTTAATCGTAGGGCAAAGAGAACAGATGTTACGTACTTAGTTGCAGCTTACTAGTGGGCATAATTTAATTATTATAATAGGGTTGCGTAAGCTGACCTTCTAAGTATAATCAATATCTTTTTCATTCGAATGCTAGCCCTTGATACTAACTTGCACTTTTTATTGAGATTCATTTGAATCAGTTAGCGCTACAAGAGATAGACCTAGTGTAAGGATTAGGATTAATAAAGGGAAACAGATTAAGAATTATATTATGCACGTAGACGTAGTATGTTTTTGTTGCTTATCAAGATTTAATCTATACAATAACCTCCACCATCGCAAGCAGTAGTCGTGTGCTCCAGAAAGAAGTGCGGTGTTACTCGCGAGCGGTGCCGCGGCGCCGGCGAGCGCTGTAAATCACGTCTCTTGCCGGAAAGATCAAAGTGCTCTCTTACGACTATTAAATAGTATACTTTGTGCCCACTTTGTGCACAAATACGCGGTTAATTAGAACGAGCCGCCTTCTTCTAGATCCCTTTACTTAGTAACTAAATTAAATATACATTAGTATTCCCTGAATACTTTTTTATGGTTAACGGTAATTTTAACAGTACTTGAATGTTAACAGATTGCACTTTTGTATAATATTATGCAAGCAAAATAAGTGTGTAGCTAGCTATAGATCATATGTGGTTAGTTTTATTTATGATTTGCGAGTGCGTACACTTGATGTGTAGATGCAGGTGCGATCAGTATATTTGGCCAGGATGCCGTATCTCCGCGTCGCTAGTGCGTGCGAGCGTCCTGCAGATGCGACGCGCACATTCCAACGCTTAATATGTCCTGTCGATCCCGATTTTGTCTTCGTAGCCTTTTTATAGCCCCTACTAATTTATCTGCCATGCGTTTTGGTTTTTTCATACAATACTTCGTGTAATTACCTACCAGCGACATCCCAATGATACGATCTATGTATATTTGGCCACTCGATAGATGTTGAATGTTTATGTATTTAAAAGCTTCCTTATCACAAAGTTAATTACGAGTTTGTCATGATTTGTACCCTTTTCGACTCTGGCGGTGATTTTATGACTCTCATAAAAGCGTATATTTAGAGCAATTATCATGAAATGGTAGACATTTAAATTTAATCGATAATTAAATTCAAGTAGAGATTCAATAGTATATTCCACATGTGGTAAATATAATAAAAATAATGTTAGGGTAAGATTTACGATACTAAATTAAAAATGTAACAGCATTAATATGAGTAAGAATATATACGGAGCGCTGTATGACTTTATTTGTTAATCACAATGAAGTACTCGTATGTAACAATGTCCATATCGCACACCTAGATAAAGAGTAGCACATCTACAAATAATCCAAATTCGAGTTATTATACTGTTATAGGAACCTGCTTAAAAAATTACATAAACTCCAAAGACACCCTGCTGATTTTGTCATGATTACTAATTTAACACGGAAAAAATAAAACTATTTTTGGAACTGTGGGTTAGTTGGTGTTCCAAATAAATGTCTTCAAGTGTTTGATATTGAGTTGGTTACAAATGATACTGCTATTTGATGACAAGCCATTGGTCAAATAAATATCTTTGTAAAATTATATACATAATACAAGAAAACATAAGATTATTTTTAATTTATCAAATAGAAAAAAAGTAAAACGTTCTTTCGAAAACTTTGCTACGTTCTCTCGGATATGCAGGTTTCCTCACAATGTTTTTCCATCACCGTAAAACAAGTGGTAATCACATTAGAAATAATTCGCACATGAAAATATCAGAGGTGCAAGACCCGGGAGTTGAACCCACTTCACTCGGGTTTCCAAGCGAGCGTTCCACTGGGTTACCACTGGAATGAAGGCATTTAGAATTATCTTATAAATATATCAGTTTTTTTTTGCCCTAGGACCAGGTGTGGTTCGAAGGATGGATGCTGAAAGGACGATTTAGAATCCTAGACGTGAAGGTAACGAGTGCAGTGTAGTGCAGTGCTCAGAGTGCGGAGGTGCGGATTGTGCGTGGACACTAAGCATTATGTGTTTGTGCGTGTTGGTGCTGCTGTTGGCCGCCATGCCCGCGCTCGCCGGTAAGACTTAAACTGTATTTTATACATACAAAATGATAGGTATGTATATCCTAACTAAATTATTAATTCATGAAAATATTGGCGTAATTCTATACCGCCTTGACAAGATGACATTGACAACAAGACATATCGTTGTAGAATAAATATCTTAAATAATATATATTGTGAAAATGACTTAATATTATGATTCTATTATTGACTCAATTTGTAACTAGGATAAAAGAAAAAAGTTTCAAATTCAAAACAAAGAATTTGAACGAATGAAACAAAAAGTCAAAAATCAAAAATATATTTCAAATAAACTTTTAAAGTACTTGTTAATTGCGCAGTTGCTCGCGGTAATAGTAGTACGTTAATAACCACTTGGAGAAGTTTTTATGAAAAACTCCTAAACTCAAACAACTAGTATAACTTCGAAATAATATTCATTTAATTAAATAGTTTCTTTGTACAGCGATTATGTATGAAGGATGGTTCAGAGCAGAACAGTTACCGGTAAATCACGCACAGCTCCCCGTCCTCCGCCCTCCGCCTGAATTCCCATAAAAGCTTTTATGGTCCCCGCGGCCCCGCGCGGTGACGACTGGGCGACATCGCACACATGGCAATGATTCGTCATGGGATTGTAACGTGTCCAGATTACGATAGATATGGTTTCTGGTACATGCACATTAAAATTTTTTTGATCTGTTTCACTATAGAGTTTACTTTCAACGTGTTTATAATTTAGAATTATTCTAATCATGCAGGCAGGTTTAGAAACCTATAAGTAAGCTAAGAAAAATAATTAATATCATAATTAAAAAAATAAACCTTTAGCGAACGCAAATGTTTGATTAAAAATACTTTGTTTAAATGTCGTTTAAAAGAGCGTTGGTAACTATAGTAGTAGTAGTGCAAGTGTCACGTGTTCGCGTTATTTCGGTCCGCGATGCTAAATCTTCTCACTTCTCAGATCCTTCCGTATATTCTGTAATAGCATCAATGTTTGGCAACCACTGCCACTCCGCCGCTCCGCCCGCGGCGCGCGATCTCCTGCGCACGCTCCCTCTGTGTCAAAACGCATTACTCGCGTAAAAATGATTGATTATCCTCCGACCGGGCCATTACGTTAATATTTCAATATGTACGTCTTCATGAACATGTGGCTCGGATGGAACTAGGCCAATTGCTATGAGATTTTAATAGTTTGCAAAAAATACTTATTTTAAATTGTGGCGCTTATCCATTCACTAAGACTAGGTATATTATAACATCCACTACCTAATCTAATAATTATAATGTAAAAACGTAAACTTTATAACTTTATTACAGAAACATTTATGCTAAAAATCAGAGTTTACTATAAATAGCTTATAATATTATAATGACAATTAATAAGTTCTCGCCATTCATATTATATATGTAGTTATCTCATTAAACAGCTTTGTTTTTTAACTACTTTATAAAAGAATGGGTTTACTTATGTGTGAGGTACAACAATTTAAATTTGCGAAGATTAAAGATCGTCCAGTTCTACATTTAGTGAGTGAAACAGTCAGTGATGCGATGCGATGCGACGGCATGATGTCACTCCCGCACATGATCGGCTGTCAGTCAGGGGTGACGGACTGCCCGCACGCGGCCCGCGCTGTGCCCGCGCGACTCCTTCGTATCGACGCTTCTGTAGCTATCGCTCTTCATTTATTTTTAGCTAATGTTGTTTTGCTCCAAATCATTAGTGTATTCGGTATTTTGTTTGTTTTGATTCGTGTAATATGTTAATGAAGATTTTCGTGCGCGCTGCAATGTAAATATAAAGAGCGTTACGCGCTACTGTTAAATAAATACGGATCTCAAGATCTACTTGCATATAGCCTATAGGTTCAATGTAGTAACGTACGCACGGTCTTTTTAACAGTTGCATAGTCTTCATAGGCTGAGAAATAGATATTCCTTTTGTTAATTTTTAACACCATAAATATACCTACTGAAAGTTTCAATTAAAATTAATACAAAATGTGACATCCTTTAAAGTTGCGTAGTGACGTGACACAACTAGGTAACTGTATTTGTATTAATAAAAACTATTTTACTTCTAACGTTCCTTAGTTTTAATTAAATTAAATACATATTTTTAGAACATCTGAAGTGCAAACCTGAGTCAAGGTTTAAGTTAAGGTATTATAATTTTATTTTTGTTTACCGCAAGTCCTAACTATTTACATCCGTTTGGATAGAAAATATTTAAATTATGATGATATAAACTGAAATAAAATGTATGTGGAATGTTAAATACAAAATACAAGGACAAACATTTTTCACAAAGTGAGTCAGCGTTGCCGCGCGTACGCCGCACGTGCCTCCCCTGTCCCTCTGGCACGCACTTCCGACCGACAATTATGAAAGAAATAAAACTCGCTGTAATGATTTGGCACCGGGATTGTGGCATGGCATTCAAAATAGAGGAAAGAAATTTATTTTTATTGTGTGTAGGCGAAATGACTTAACTTCCTCCGTATCCGTGACTCAGATCCGCGAGCGTCGTTCCAGATGCTGATATATGATTTCATCAAAGCGAGTGGACCACTTCGCCTGAAGCAAATGCTCTATTTTATGCGAAAACAGAATAAATATTTATATTTGCTCACAGTAATGTCCTTTGCAGTCGTTAACTGTTTGAAGAGGTTCGTCACAGTCGAGTAGTACGAGTGGATGATGTAGCGTCTCCGCGCGCGTAGCTGAGTGCTGGCGTAAGACAGAGCAAACAAACACACGGCGATGATTGCGCGTGTGATAATTGATCTTCCGATTGGTCTGTATGTACTCGATAGCGGACTATTAGTATGTACAATAAACAATCGCGTACAAACAGCACAAAGCGAAACAGAGATGATGGTTTGTTTTCGTTACATTGATCAAAGATTCATCCTTCAACGTATGTGAATTAGGACAGTTTCATAGCAAGCAGTTCACGCCGTCAGTTCATTCTGACCGCACGAGCTACGTACTTACGCGTTACACTACAATATACAGGTACAGGTGATAGATAGCTTATGTTAATTATAGATAAATCTAGTAAACTCGTGAGATTGTCTTGTGTGTGATTATTTTCTATTGTTCGTGTGATTATTTTGAAAGATATTAAGTGGATTTCTATAATTAGTATGATATCAACTTGATAATATTCATAAAGTAATAATGATATAATAAGAAAGATAATAAAAAAAATCTTTCAAACTCTTACCTATTCATTATTTTTCTTTATTTAATGCAAAGTACCTACGCAGCACGCACCTAATGTTGAACTGAGTAATTAATTGTTTCCGGAAACAAAATGTATTTACTTAAAATTATGCATTAGTTGTTTTTTAATCCCACCAAAATATTTTTCTATATTTTAGATATGTACGTACCCTATATGACAACTATTTCATACATCGACACCTGTAATGAACAGCATTGTAGCTTCTATTGAAGTTTTTCATAAATATGAAAATTAACTTTATTATTTTTAAGACCCAAATTCAAAATTGCTACAGAACTGAGTTACAACGGTGTTCCTTGCAGGTGTCAGTACGTAAACCTATACATGAAACTGTATTGGATATTGCAATAAGGCACAGGAAGGCGAACTCTGCCCGTAGAGGGCGAGGCGGCGCCCGCGTGCTCCGCCGCGCTGTAAACATTGTTTAATTGAGCCCTTTCATCTTCGTTTAGCAACGGCACAAAACCACGCTACATGCTTTGTGATCAGCACATGGCAAAATGAAGTATTAGTATTTTCTGTCATATTATGCTCATTCAGAAGTCATGACTTGGGGCCTACCCTTGTTTACATCACTATTTACCAAAAATCATAACGTGTAACGTGAAAGATAATCCGTAACTTATATTGGATTATTTGACATTTCAATTACTTAGTATTAGTAAACAATAGAAAGGTCATCTTTTGTCAAGCTTTCAATGAACCTCACATGTTGGTCATATAAACTCGTATAAGTATTAAAATAAATACCTCGTGTCATACTCGTCAAATCACAACACTCATGGTTGGTTCGTTAAAAGTATTAATTAAAGTGAAGATAGTAAAACAAAAAATGAATGGAAATTTATATTAAATATCAATATTACTAATAATGGGATTTACTTCGTATATTAATTAACAAACTGCTAGTTTAGAGCTCCGGCACGTCGCCGCCCGCGGACGCACTTCGTTAATTCGCTTTGTGAAATGTGCATTCTTTATATGTAAATAGGCTTAGTCAATTTGCATGATAATGGATTAAGTTTTTGTGCGTGCATATCGTCGCGACAGAGGGGTAGTTACAACAAGTGCGAGCGAGCGCCACACGCGGCGCGGGCGCATGCCCCGCATTGTTAGCACGTGAAGCTCGACAATGACGCCCTATTATATATGTATTTCAAAACAAAATTATGAGGGGTAAGATTTTATACTCCAATTTCTTAGAAAAGCAATCTTGCTTATATTACTTTTATTAAGGCAGTCAACGTTTGTTTACAAAGACTTTGTATTTTAAATATGTCTAATATGCTTAAAAGTAATATTTTATACTAGCAGGCTAGGCAGAGATAGATTATAGTCTGGAATAACACATAGGCTAGGCAGCTAGGAAAATAAAAACAAACCTATCCCACGGGAACCGTACATTTTTACGGGTAAAAAGTTGTCTATGTGTTATTCCAGACTATATACTATCTCTGTGCCAAATTTCATCCAGATCCTCTCAGCCGTTCTGGCGTGAATGAGTAACAAACATCCATACTCACAAACTTTTATATCTATACATATAATAAAATTGTGACCAAGCCGAATCCGTACATTAAATATTTTTTGAAAAATCTTTTTGAAATAATTATTAATTTCTATCTCTATTGAAATAATTATTATCGATATATAGGCCAAATCTACAGTTTTTAGAATTTTTGCCTGTCTGTCTGTTACCGCATCACGGAAAAACCACTGGAGGGATATAGGATATTTTTTACCGCGGGAAAATATCTCATTTCTGAGAAAAAAAGCAAAAACTGCATTGTAAGAGTATACTTATATGTAAAACCTAAGAATTTGGTTTTTGGTAATCTGAACTTAGGCGGAGCCGCGGACAATGCTAGTTTATGATATTAGTATAGATGAGTGAAATAATGTAATTAATAAACTTATATAAATGTCAAAATCTGAAAAGCGTTTAATGTCGATGACTTGTAGCGTTTATCTATCAAGCAATAGTTGGAATTCGAAAGGAAATCCTGGCGGAGCCAGCTGCGGACTAATGATCGTGAGCTAAGTGGGCAGAGGTAAAGCGAGCGTTAGTTTTGTTTGTGTGTCAGCCTATATATATAAATATCACGAAGCTGCGATGAAGTGTTGAAATGTTAATAATGCGAGGCCGGTCGTTCCCCCGCCGCCCGCGCACTCCGCGCCTCGCTGCGCTCTCAACATTACTATTGTTTATCTATCTACTATTGATATATTAAAAAAATATGTGAATTTCTAAATGTGCTTTCAAGAAACTTATGAAGTAGACAAACGTTGAGGTCCACAATCGAATTCGAGCGGGACTCGAACCCTCGATAACTAAAGTAGTGATAGATTCATAGATTATAAATAATATAAATAATTACAATAATATAAATCTAGGTACTATAATTTCAAAGATTTGAGAACTAGCTTAGATAAATTCAGTACCATAAATAGGCTGGTGAGTCAACACAACACACGGTCTAAGTCTGCAACTATTGATATCGATATATTTTCTGACACTTCACATACTCGTTTTAAGAGTAGCTTAAAATTTTAGTACTACAATAATTCCCAATTTGAAAAATTAACATAATTTTAGGAACGTGAGGAATATTATTATTGTTTCTCTCTTTTTAGATGTCTATGTATGTATAACATCTTGCTGTCACTGTATTATTATTGTATATGATATGTATTGCGATATGTAGCGCTGTATAAGTAGGTACTCTTTTTCAACAGGTCTTTTTTTTGATGACACGTTTGGCTCAGTCTGTAGTGACCCTACATGCTGTGGCCAACGGTCGTGGGTTCGAGTCCCGCTGAGGGCATTCGTTTGTGTGTTGAGCACGAATATTTGTACTCCAGTTATGGGTGTTTATACATATAATAAAATTGTAACTAAGTCGAATCTGTACATTAAATATTTTTTGGAAAATCTAATTGAAATAGACATTATTAGCGATACAGAGTCCGAATCTATAGTTTTTAGAATTTTTGTCTGTCTGTCTGTCTGTCTGTTACCGCATCACAGAAGAACCACTGAAGGGATTTTGATGAAATTTGATATGGTGATAGCTGGTTATCCGAGTCAACATATACGGACAACATAACAGGATACTTTGTACTGCGAGAAAATGTCTTATTTCTGAGAAAAAACACAAAAACTGCAATGTAAGAGTATACTAATATTTAAAACCTAAGAATTTGGTTTTTGGTCATCTGAACGCGGGCGGAGCGGCGGGCAATGCTAGTTAATAATATGTATGTATTTAAAAAAGTTACATGTGTATAGTGTATCAACTATCTGGTATCCATAACACAGGCCTCGTAGGATACCATGGAACTGGATGGTGCTGTGTGCTAATGTCCCAATATTATTAACTTAATAACTTAACACACTGACTGTCTATAACAACAAAGTAGACTCAATAGATAAACAATGTCAATTAATTATATGTAATGCACTAGACAGTCAATGTATGAAGCAACCTTCTCGGTTACCTCTCTTTATGTGTTCGCTTGTTGTAAGCCTTTAAATAGAACAACCTTTATACCAATTGTAAAATTTAGACACGTATTTTTATATATAAATATTACGCAGCGGAGCAGTAAAAATTAGACTTTAAGAAAATTAATGTTGAGGAAATGAATATGCATAATGTGATGGAGCACGCGATGCCCGCATCCTTCGCCTCCGCAGCTTCCGCTCAGCTAGTATAAAGCTATGGTTTATTTATTGGTTATATACGACTTGGCCATTAATTGGGCAGTTCATTCTTATAAAAGTATTTCCATTTTCTTATTATAAAAACTAATGCAAAAGTTTTATAGTCGGTAAATAAGAAAGATAATAATGATATGTGATGTGAAAGATAATGATGATTTAGATTTTTTTTGTATCTTAGATATTATGCAGTTCGTGTCTGTATCGTACGCGGCCCTCAGTTGATTAATATCCAGTCAATGATAACATCAGGAGTGATTTACATTCATAATTGTAAATCTCAGACGTATAATATGACAAGGTCAGGCATTTAGTAAGAAAGGAGTTTACGCCCACGACTCTACCCGTGTTGTTGTTTGTTTGTAAAAATATAAAGTACAAATAAGAATGTGGTTATAAATCAAAGTTTTGAATAAGTAATAAACAAGCTTATATAATATAGTATTTTTGTTCCTAAATTATTACCAGTACGAGTACGTACCTATTTCATTAAGCCCAGTGACGCGTAGCGTGCAGAACTCTGCACTCCGCGCCGCCCTCCGCCGCCCTCCGCCGCCCTCCGCCGCCTGAGGCTCGTCACGATTCATTCACAGTGATTCACCTTGCCCTTGATTAATTAGTGCAAGACCGAAACATTTATCCTGTCTTTAGGGCAACTGTACAAATAGGCCTTTTATGTTTCCACTCTACTATTTGTTCGCAAGTGCGGTTACTGCATTGGCCGTTTGAATTTAGCAGTATTAATTATGAATGGAAACAAGGACAAATGACTTTGATTTTATAAAGTTAAATTTCGAAGGAAAGTTAAACCAATATAATGAAAATTTCCGTAAAATACACTCTAGTAATAAATTAATCGCGAGAGAATTTCTTAATATTGTGTCTTAACATGTTGAAATGTCAGGCACCTCACTGTCTGTCATCTGTCTATTGTCAATGTGACAGTTTATATACGTAGCAATATACTCTGTGTGCTTCCTGCTTCCTCGCTTCCTTCTAAAAATGATAGACTTAGACGACTGTTGTTTAAATGTTTTATTTTAATAATAAACGCCAACACGTTCCATAAAATACAACGTAGTTTTTATTTAACATGGTAGCAGAGCGTGGTTGGTGCTAAAAGAAAAAGGAATCATCATCACTGGGTTGCGATCCACGTGGATGAAATATAATGAGAAAAAATCAAGACAACGCAAACATGTCGTCGGGGGCTGCGGTCTCGTCAATGTCGTTGTTGCCGTGCTTGGGTGAGAAGTCAAACTTCAGCACGTGGAAGTTTCGCCTTAAACTGATGTTAGAAGATAAACAAGTTGCATACGTATTAAAAGAAGGAGATAATGAAAAAGAAAAATCCGCCGAATTTATCAAAGACGATTCGAGGGCAAAGTCTTTAATTGCAATGTGCGTTTCCGACCGCTACATTGAAATAATAAAGGATGGGAAAACAGCGAGAGAGATGATTACGTTATTGGAAAATACATTTGAGAGAAAAAGTGTCTACAACAGGTTCTACCTAAAACGCAAATTAATAATTCTAAAGTGCAATGAGCCATTAGAAACATACCTCATAAAGTTCTCATCAATTGTTAATGATCTCCAGGCGATTGAAGTCAAAATTGATGATGAAGATAAGATTTGTTACCTGCTGTCATCGCTGCCTAAGGAATATGATCCTGTAATTACATCCATCGAGACCATGGCTACAGAGAAGAGACTGACATTTGATTTTGTAAAAGCCAGATTGCTGGACGCTGAGACAAAAATCATCACAAACAAGGACACGACCGATCAAGAGAGTGCATTCATCACATGTTTTACTTGTGGTAAGCCGGGACACAAAAGCTATGAGTGTAAAGATAAGATTAATGAAAAAGAGCCACATCGAGGCAGGAGCCGTGGGAGAGCTGCTGGCCGAGCTCGCAGAGCTGCACGAGGACAACCCACACGAGGTCGAGGACAACGTGGTCAAGCCCAAGAGACGTCCCTAGCTGGTAAGGTGGAAGTTGGATTTTTTGCCAGTGAATACATGTTTGGATTAACTGAAAATTCTAATATTACATTTATTGTAGATTCAGGTTGTACCCAACATATTATAAGTGATCAATATGAACAATATTTAACTGATATTAAAACATTGCAAAAAAGTGTTTAAATATATGTTGCTAATGGTCAATATATAGAGAGTAATAAAAAGGGAAAGTTGAAGTTCATGTATAAACATATAAAAATAAATATAGAGGCATTGATTGTAAAGAATATTTCATATAATTTATTGTCAGTAAATAAAATAACTGAAGCAGGATTTCATATAAAGTTTAATAAAACAAAAGCTGTAATAAGAAATAAAAATATATATGTTATTTGTTATGCTGAGGGAATGTTATATAAATTAAATGCTCAATTATGTAGTGAAATATGTAATATCAGTAATAACAAGAGTGATGATGTTCTTTCTAACATTTGGCATAGACGGTTAGGTCATTTAAATAAAAAAGGATTAGGTATTATGAATTTACAGGTTTCTGAAAAAGTTTGCGGCCCATGCATAGAAGGTAAAGCTACGAGAACACCATTTAAGCTGACGCCGAGACCTAGATCTAGGAGAGTAGCAGAGTTGTTGCATACAGACATTGCAGGACCTACCAAGAACTGTGGTTTAAACGGTGAGAAATATTTTATGACTGTAATTGACGACTACTCCCATTTCTGTGTTGTATATCCATTGGTGCATAAGTCAGAAGCGACAGAGAAACTTATTAACTACATAATTAAATTAGAAAATGAAACTGGAAATAAAGTGCAAAGAATAAGATGCGATAATAGTACAGAGTATACAGCAAATAGACTGAAGAATTTTTGTAACAATAAAGGAATAAATATAGAATATACTCTACCTTATACGCCACAACAAAATGGAGTTGCAGAGCGCTTGAACAGGACTTTGTGTGATAAAACTAGAACTTTGTTTGCAGAGACGAACTTACCTAAATTCTTATGGTGTGAAGCCATTCAGTGTGCTGCATACCAGTTGAACAGATCTCCATCCTGGGCTATCAACTTTAATACTCCATGCTTTATGAAAAATGGACATAATGATTTATCAAGACTGCGAGTCTTTGGATCAAAAGCTTGGACAACTATAATACCGAAACAGGATAAGTTAAGTAAAAGAGCAAAACCTACAAGAATGGTTGGTTACAATACTGTGGGCTATAGATTATGGAATCCAGAAGATAATACAATAATAATATCAAGAGATGTCATATTCGATGAAAGCGATTTTAAATATATCGAAGACAAAGAAAGTGAAGAAGAACAGCTTATTCAAGAAGAAATAGACTATCAAGTACAGAAAACTGCAGAAGTCAGAGACAAGGAAATTAGAAGCACAGAACCTGAGACTACAGAATGTCAAGATATTCAAATAGAAGCAGAAAAAGAAAAGAACTTAAATAGAGAAAGTGAACTAGTAAAGAAGTCAAGATCAGGTAGAATAGTAAAACGACCAGCGCATTTAGAAGATTATGCATCAGATATAGTCACATGTTTGAGTGCAAATACACCAAACTCATTTGAAGAGGCAGTGAGTAATACAGAGTGGAAACAAGCTATTCAAAAGGAACTACAAGCACTGGAAAAACTAGATACATGGGAAGAAAAGGAGCTGCCTACAGGAAAGAAAGCCATAGACACAAAATGGATTTTTAAACAAAAAGAAAAAGGAACTAAAAAGGCAAGATTAGTTGTAAGGGGCTTTCAACAGAAGAAAGAAGATATTTTTGACAGCAATTATGCTCCAGTTGCAAGACACTCTACAGTTAGGATGTTCATATCTAAAGCTCTACAAGAAGATTTAATGATAAATCAACTAGATATACCTACCGCTTTTTTGAATGGAAAATTGAAGTCAGAAGTTTATATTAAAGTGCCACAAGGATTAAAGGTGAAAAATTCTAATTCTAAAACAGTATTAAAACTTAAAAGAGCACTTTATGGATTAACAGAATCTCCAAAATGCTGGAATGAGACAATAGATGATTTTGCGAAGAACAATGGATTTCAACGTTCAGAATATGATTATTGTATGTACTACAAAAATGACTGTTGGATGTTAATATATGTAGATGATATTCTAATAATTGGAAATGGAGATGACATAATAAAGGAATTGAAACAAAAGTTCAATGCGAAAAATCTAGGAAAAATGGAAAGATTTTTAGGTATGGAAATACAAAGAAGTGAAGACACTATAATCATAAAACAAACTAACATGATAGAGAAAATATTACAGAAGTTCAATATGAGTGATTGTAAAGGAATGAAAACACCTATGGAGATAAATTATAATATACAGATATATGATAATGAAGAAATATTGGATGTACCTTATCGTGAACTGATTGGTAGTTTAATCTACTTAACTGTAACATCAAGACCGGATTTGACATTTGCAGTATCTTATCTAAGCAGATACCTGGACAAACCAACTGAACAACTATGGAAAGCTAGTAAGAGAGTTATACGCTACCTAAAAGAAACTAAATATAAAGGACTAGTATTTAGAAGAACTACAGATAATAATTTGTATGGATTCTCTGATGCAGATTGGGCCGGAGATAGAAATGATAGAAAAAGTGTAAGTGGTGGCATAATTTTACATGGAGTGAATCCCATAGCTTGGTTTTCAAAGAAACAGTCATGTGTTGCTCTTTCAACAGCAGAATCAGAGTACATTGCTGCTGCTGCCACAGCTCAAGAGTTGGTGAATCTTAAAGGTCTCAGTCAACATTTAAAGTTCAAAAATGATGCCATCTTACTCGTGGATAATATAGGAGCAATTTCTATGTCTAAAAGTTATGAAAATTCAAAAAGAACTAAACACATAGATATTAGGGCTCATTTTCTTAAAGATATTGTTGAAAAGGGCATCATTGCTATTGAATATATTAATTCTAATGATAACTTAGCTGACATAATGACTAAAAGTTTATGTAAAGACAAATTTTTAAAATTTAGAGATCAATTTATGTGTTAGAAAGTATTATGATAGGAGGAGTACTACTGTAAACTCATATTGTATGATTGTTGTTATTATTATGTAATATTAATATTAAGTAGCTATTTGTTGTGTAAAACTTAAGTTATTAAGAAAAAATTTTAAGTTCAGGTTAATGTAAGTTAGTGAATATTTTTAAGTTGAAATTGTTTTGTAAGAAGTAAATATATTTGATAAGTGATGTGCTTGATACCAAATTTAAATTTGAGAAATGTTAAATTCGAGGAGGAGTGTTGAAATGTCAGGCACCTCACTGTCTGTCATCTGTCTATTGTCAATGTGACAGTTTATATACGTAGCAATATACTCTGTGTGCTTCCTGCTTCCTCGCTTCCTTCTAAAAATGATAGACTTAGACGACTGTTGTTTAAATGTTTTATTTTAATAATAAACGCCAACACGTTCCATAAAATACAACGTAGTTTTTATTTAACATAACAATATTATAACTTTCCTTTTTTACTCATTTATAAATTCATTTATAATAATGGGATATTTGTACACAGATAAAGTGAAGTTTCCTGAAAAACCAGGGAAACTTTAAAAGGTTTTTATCATTTGATGAATAATTAATAATATCTATTATTGAAAGAAACTATATTATAAATATATTAGGGACATAAGAATAAGTTAAAACGCTTAACCCAACGCAAGCTTACATACTCGTATAATGCTCCGCACAATGCTTACGTACAATATAAGCTTTACCTAACAACGCCATCTGCAAAATTTTGCTTGAAATAAATATTCCAGAACTGAGTTGTTTACTCTGCGGGTGAACACTAGAGTTACGTTCAAATTGTTTTACCTTCTCGCAATAGATGGGAGTCTTTAATAAGTATTAAATAAACATAAAATGAATAACATTGTGTACCTGTCTGTCTGTCTGTATCTTATCTTTCTATTCTACTATCATGTACAATCTTTCAACTGCGAATGTTTTACTGCGGTTATAATAGTGCTAGATAAACCCATTATCGTAAATGCTTCGTCTCGTCAATAGATAACATATTATCATACTGTATAATATGTTTATATCTAGCTAGCGACTTACGTATTACGTACCCTCGGTACGTTTTACATATAAATAGTTATTCGAGTGTACCTTAAGAGATAGATTTATGCTTGATGTTGCGGAATTTTTTGTAGGCCTTTTTAAGTTAAACCTTGTTAAATCTAACATGTTTAGCCATCCTTAGAAAATATGTTAGTAACATGGCTAACATGTTTTCTAAAAGAAACCAGTTATTGTGTTTCCCGTGGGAATAAAAGTTTTCTTATAGTAAAAGGTATTCTAAATGTTGACTTGTGTAATTAGTTATCACTGCACGAAATTTAGTTAAAATGGCCTAGTACTTTTTGCGTGAAACGCGAACACACAAACAGATACACAGACAAAAAAAATTATAAATATTGTTTTGGGGTCTATATTCTGTACACAATACGTTACAGGCATTATTTTTAAAAATATTTTATGTACAGATTTCTTTAAGTTACTATTTAATTATATGTATGGATATGTATTGATATATAACAAAAACAGTAAAAATATACTAAGAAATAGTTCATTTTACATGTACATTAAGTTTACCTAATACCTTAACCTAGATATTTTTGGTTTTTTTCTTGGAATTGACATTTTAACGCTTACAATTATTAGTTTTGTAAACAATTCGTAATTTGTGCAGGACAAACAGTAAACAGTTTATCCTAAATTTATTCCTAGCGTAAAGCGTAAGCTAAATGTACCCTACATTTTTTGTCCTTACATAAGAATATAATCATTTTCTCTCAGCAGAAAAATCAGTTGAAAGATGATGGCCGCTTAGGCGCAGCGGGTTTTGTGACTAGTTAACTCTTCTTGCTACATTGAAAGGGGTTCATTTTCTCGATGACGTATATTACGAGTCTATCTCAGAAGTAGGTCAGGTAGACCAAGTAAAATTCGGTGTAACAGCACACAGTTTTTATTATTTTATACAGAGTCAGAGTAGCGCCTCAAACGACACTACAAAAAAGAATGGCGCATTATTTAAAAATCATGAAACAAAATACAATGCTGCTCCCGCTCTTTTTCCACTCAATATGACAAAGTCAGAAAACTAAAATAAGTATTTTATACCAGAACGACAACATACAGAATAAAATAATGATATAAATAATACATATAAATCCTATTTTATGTAATTAATAATTTATATTATTTAGTATAACACGTAGGACAGCATAGAATCCTGAAAACAAGCGCTATTCCGATGGACGAGTATATTGTTGTTGTTTCATTGTTTACTTTGTCGATCTTGCAAGGCTACGCACACGTGACCAAATCTAATAGATATTTCGATAGATATTTAAAAATAAAAAATATTTTGACTGTTCAAAATTCATAACTAAAATCATGATAACATTTTTGTTTAATAAAATCATTGGATTGGGACGTGCCATTGAAATTGCATTGCTATACGTATACAGTCAATAGAACTGTTTCGCGTACTAGAGGAGTATCGAAGTTACTCGAATGTAGAGCCATTCTTGTTGCCCGTTATGCTCATTTGTACCGGTTTCAATAATTTCTGGTTATTGTGGGGTATTTGACGGTTACGTGGAGTGATTGTTATTTTAAATATACTTTTAGTGCAGCAAACTTATACTAAGCATTAATAAAACAATAAGAAATTGTAAAATTCATTGCAAAAATAAATAATTTGGTCGCTTCTTATAGTAGAGATCAGATTATTTCTATTTAAGTTATTGTTATATTTTTCTAGATAGAACAAATCATTTGCTATAAAAAAATATATATATTTGATATTACATTCAATACATATAATTTTGGAAACTCACCAATTCTATCAATAAACTGCGTCCTAATAGCGGGTGGTACTCTGGAGTATAACTCCATAGTTTATCGCGGTGTGATGCCGCAAGTTACACAGGCAATTAGGCAGATGTTCCATTTCATGTTATATGGCTTTAAATATCAGTAGTGCCAGGGAGCGTCCAAATAATACAGTCCTAGCGCAGTGGCGCTGTGTGTAACCAGTTCACTCTATCACGTCGTGCGTCACAAGATTGGTCCCATCAAATTTGTCATACAGTTGCCTGCTGTCGATTGGTTTGAATGCAAAATAGGGAGGCAGATATGGATTAGAAGAATTAGATTGCTTAGAATGTAGATAAACTGTTTATTTATATACTTGTATACACTATATATGTTTACGGTTGTAGCTTCCTCAAAATCTAACTGCCCTGACTCTTAACTTTCAAAGATCAGGTAAATCTTTTCGGATTTTGTCACGGTTTGAACTACAGTAATCAGTTCCTTCCGTGACCATGTATACTGTAAAACATTGGCCACTAAACAAAAACTTAAAATAAAACCACGTCAAAATCCGAATTTACTTAAGTTAAATATTCACGTAAATTTACGAAAGTATTATGAATATATTTTGCGTTAGAAGATATTTGAAGAGTATTAATCTGGTGCAGGGCCGCGAGGAGGAGAGCGAGGTGTGGCGGTAGTGTCGGGGCCGGCGTTCTCCGCGCGGCAGCAGGCGGTTGTACTCGCGCGTGTGGGCGAGAGCGCCGCCCTGCGCTGCAACGTGGTGCGTCTGGCCGACCGTGTGGTGGGTGTCTTTTATCAATAATTCTTTACTTAAAATTATTAATATGAAAGTTTGATCATTTATACTTCTTTCGTCAGGCAATGTAGCAATGGATTGACTTAATTTCATAGGATAATAGTATAAATTCCTTTTTTACTAGCGTTTTTTCCTGGATTTCTATTTAAGCTTTTTTTAACTAGCCTTTGGGACGTAAGGCATTCCACGTGAAGCAGACAAGTAATAAATATTGATAATTTCGATTTTAGACATAAGGCCTCGACCCAGATACAAAATATTTTTATAGCATAAAGCCAAAAAATGGTTATGGAGTTAGAGGATTTTAAAGTTTGCGTAACCAACATGTATTTCGAAGGTACTTCGAAGCCCTATCTAGTTTAAAAAATATAATTAATTAGATAAAGCCGTGAAAGTACTCCATTTAATGGTACGTATTTCTATTGCCGCTATAACAACAAATTGTAAAAATAAATAAAAAGAAAACTGAATCATTTTTAACGTTCGTTATCGATCATCGATTAATATATCTACTACATATACCTACTATAGAGTAAATGTCATATAAATAAAAAGTACATGCACGATAGTACAGAACCCTTCCAATGCAAATTCGACACTCGTTTGACCGATTTTTTGGATATAAAACAAACGTTTTTTTAAATATTTTAATTTTTGAACCTAGGATTTCAGGAAGTATTTTTTTTTCTAAAAAAATCTAATAGTGTATTCATAATAATCCTTGTAAGTTTCGTAATGGGCGTGAAAGTCATTTAGGAACTAGACCGATTACAGTGCTGAAGCGCGGTGGCCGGTCCCTGGTCACGCCTGCTGAGCTAGCGCGAGCTTACAGAATACTTTAATATATTACGTTTATTGTTCACGTAATTTTCCTTAAAGCAGATACGTACAGAAAAAAGCAGATACTAGGTATAACTCTTCGCTGACATTACCAATAATATAATAATAATAATAATAACATGCGTCTATTTCAGACAAGAAGTCCATAAAAATTGTCAGTACACAGAGAAAACTAAAACCAAAATATGTTTTGTATATAATTAAATAAGATTAAATCTATTTTTATTAACTAAGCAAACATGCAATTAATGATTATTGCACAAGTATTTCCGCGTTAAATTGTGCCAAGAATGCTAGCTGTTATCCACCGTTGAATCGTAATGCCAAACCTTTGGGTGAAAAACCGAGCTAGCCTTCTCGTCAGCGGAAGAGGAGATATAATGAAGTATTATGTTTTTATTAAGTTTTTAGCTTTTAGTCTTCATTGCCAAGGGTTTCTACAGCAGAGGAAATAATAGAATATTATTGTAAATGAAGAATGGGTAAATGTAATGAAAATCTCACGATATGGGTCATATCGTCTTGCTTTACAATAAGACTCAATAAGAGCAGGAACAATAATGGTGACAAACCAACAACAATGGCGCCTTTAAATAGATGACAGATAAATTTAATATTTGAATTTCTTTCATAAGAGTTCACGGAGTCTATAAGTAAAGTATATAGTATAAGAGTGTATAATCACGGAATCTATCTGTTTTCCACACGGATATAATACTTCATACTATTTTTTGTTTTTTTTTATTAATTAGTATAATGGATAACATTTTACCTCATTACCAATCCCAGCGTTTTCAATATTATTTTATAGGATTACATTCCCTACCGGCCCTAATATTCTTTTAAGCATGTAACGATGTGACCATGAAGGGCTGTAAATAAATCATGAAAATAATAATCGGTTCTTAAATATTTATATTTTAAATTTTAATTTAATACTTTTCCAAGTATACCAAGCGCCGAAAGAGGTTACTCGTATGCTTTCGTCTCTGTCACAATGCAAAGGTAAAATGTTTTAAAATAGAATGCGAATAGTCACAGGTATAGCTGGCGTATAGGTTTGCGAAACTACTAGAAGTATCTGTAATCAAAAACACATGTATCTACAAGTATAGGACGAGGTGCGAGTGGCGCCGAGCAACGCTAACTACTAAAAATACTCATTGCCAATGTCACGCACCGCCCGCCACGTGCTGCGGAAGTCCGCTCATTTGTTTTCATACTTCCGATCTTCCAACAATCGCTATTTGATCTATTCAAAATCTACTATTTTTAATAAAATTTATTTTCTGGCTATTATGTTTGTAAATCAATAATTTAATAGTAATTATTAAAGCAATTAAATGGTATGTTAAATCATAATCCGGCCATAGATAAATAATAATTTTAGAATATGAACTATTGTGTGTATATTTTACGACCCCAGAGCTCGTGATTGCAAGAGTTATCAGGCATGCTTGTAACATAATAAAGCGATGAGTTTTATAGGCGCCGGCAGCATCGAGCCGTTGGAGCGTGGAATATAGGCGAAGAAATAAAAATAAAGCTCACATTAGTTTCCCGGATGAAAATATCTGAGGTATGAGTCGAGGGGGAAACAGATTGCATTAGAGTATAGGTCGCTGGCGGTATGTGCGGGAGCGCTGACGTGTAGGAGCGTTCGCGAATCCTTGGAGGGACGTCACGCGGCTAAATGCGGCAAGTCCGATGTCGTGCGGGCGATTAGAAAAAGCCGGTCATCGACTCGCTCCCGATATAGCGGCACGCGCTCTGCTTCCCGGAAGTGCTCGCTGCCAACAGCGTAGCGCTACTACTACTGCCTTATGCCTCTATACGAGATAATTGGCGTCGTATCTGCGGCGTCAGTTTATACTCACAAATTACAACGTTTTATGAAACATAACGTGTGATGTATTTATGGTAAAAGTATTGAGGTGAAATGGAATACGTAATAAATCATAACATACTATAAATTAAATTCCGCCGGTATGATGATATTTGTGAATTAAGTCGGAAAAATCTTCTCTGAAAACTTCCGTAATATTATAAATACTTCGCTCGGGCACGTGAGGACGTGGGTGACTCGTTATCTCTTAAAAATAAATTATTTACAAGATTTTCACTATGATAATGGAGGAGAAGTGATTATTATGAGGGGCAAATAATAAAATATAGATATTTTTCAAGTTTACTCTATTATTTTGTACAGATTTTTTTTCTATTTAAAATGTAACTATTGAGTTATACATAATATGTTATTTGAAGTAAATTAGAACTACTATTTTTGTATGAGTGTGTACTATGTATGTATTTACTTGTATGTACCTAATACCTATATATGTTAAATGCTCCTTTAAGCTTAAACGGCCGAACAGATTTGGATAAAATTTACATAATTTTATATTGCTTTAATTAATTAGAAGTGTAACTGTTTTTTTGTGTTAATATAAAGTCTTATTCTATTCTAAACGTCCAGGTGTCGTGGGTGCGGTCGAGCGACCTGCAGATCCTGACGCACGCGGGCTACGTGTTCACGGCGGACGCGCGCGTGTCGTGCGCGGAGGCGCCGGCGGCGGGCGCGCCGGGCGCCGTGCTCACCTCGCGCGACGAGGGCTGGCAGCGCGCCGGCTCCGTGCACACGCTGCGCATCGACCACCTGCGCGAGTCCGACTCCGGCCGCTACGAGTGCCAGATCAACACGGAGCCCAAGCTCAGCTTGTTCTTCAATCTCACTGTTGTAGGTGTGTGCTCTGTTCATACCGCGGAAGCTCTCAAAGGGATCACATTTTTCGACTAAATTCACAAATATCATCATACTGGTTATTTTCACAAAAAGTTTACAAATTATAGCCTTTCTCATAAATGCATACTATATGTAATTCCTCTTTTTATTGGTCAAAACCGTATGAAAATCCGTACAGTAGTTTCTGAGATTAGACCGACCAAACGCGAATTCAGCGCTGACTTGGTCAGGTTGTTTTAAAATGTCTATTTACAAAAATACTGAAATATATCAAACTTACTATGAACAACTTTTCCATTCCTTTTCACCCACACTTAAGGACAAACGTAATACGTCACTTTTTTAATTCGTCAGCATTGACACTTCATGTACACAAATTATACAGTCTAAAGTTAATGGCCCCATCAGATTTTCTGAATCTGAAAAATAGTTAGTATAAAATATTTTGTAGAAGACTCCAGCCGCCACTCCATAATTGATGTATATAACAAAACCTTTAATGTAATGCTGGCGTTCACTTTACACCTCAGCGCCGGGTACAAGATGCATTGCCACTTGAAATTCAAATTAAACGCTTGATAAGCTCAGAAACGTCTGCATGGATTCTAAATCGCAATCCTTTAAATATATATGAGCTGGTCGGGGCTCGGCTATCTCAGATATCATATTAGATCGAGGTAAATTGTGGTAATAGTTTTAACGTATAATATTATAACGTAAGTAGTTAAGACGCTACGATTACTTAGATCAAACCCCATCTTCGCCGCGCCCCAGCTTTCGTGAGTTTTAAAATATTTTGTCTTAAAATGTTCTTCATCTAGCTTCTTAATCTGTTTCTAAAATAGAAAAAGAAATTAGTACGTTATAAAACATCGTCCTCGTTTTAATATAATCAATGAAAATGCTCGTCAATTTTGTATGCTTACAAGTCCCAAACAGACACAGTCACGACTAACAGTCTCCTTTCTATACGGTAAAATTTTCTATCATTCTTTATACAGCAGAGTCACAGTTGCCCACGGTGTCAGTGCGCGCGGTGGTCGAGGAAGGCGCGGACGGCGAAGGTGGCGCGGGCGGAGTAGTATGGGGTGCGGTGGGAGGTGCGGCGCAGCTGGCGTGCGAGGCGCGCTACGAGCCCACGCCCACGCCTGACGTGCTGGGCGCTCTGCCCCCACTGAGCATACAGTGGCTACATGAAGGAGACTCTCTCGATCCGCAGGTAAAAAATTGCTGTAAATGTCATGTAACAGACTACTGCCTTTGAGTACTAAAGGCATACTGCGATCTCATTGACAAAAGTTTTCAGTGCTCTCTGCCAGATGTGCTATCCGAGGCACGGGGCTCCTAGCGATTATTACGTCACAGAAAACCTCAGTAACTTTTAGGTGGCCCCAGTGTCTAATCCAGGATCTTCCGAATCAAATCCGTGTATTTTGTATGTAAGCCACTAGACTAACCAAGAAATTCTTAGTACAAGCCCGGAGTTGGCAAGTTGTTGGTGTTTCACCCTCGTGCCTTGGGGAACATGGGTCGCGTCAGTTCTGCGCTGATCTGTTATTAGTCTTATCGAATTATCATCCTACCACACTATTTAGAGTGTCAGAAATAGGGAGTAATATTTGCGTCAATATATATGAATACATATGTTAACATATACGTACAAAACTAGTGACATTGGCCGCCGTGGTCAAAATCAGTCAGGAAGGTAATAATAAAATGATTTGTTGTCTTAACGTGTGCAGAGTGCGCGCGGCGGCATCTCGCTCGACACGGAGCGCTGGGCGGCGCGCACGGTGTCGCGGCTGACGCTGGCGGCGCTGGGCGCGAGCGACGCCGGCCGCTACGTGTGCGTCGCCGGCGAGCGCCGCGCCGCGCTGCGGCTGCGCCTGCATGGCATCGACGACCGCGACTACGAAGTGTTGGGTACGGTTTATCTGTACTAGCTTTTTGCTATGGTTTTGAATTGTTAATTAAATATATTCTTGTAAATTAAATTGAATTGTCTGTCTGTGATATTAAAAAAAACTCGCCTATAATTTGGTATTTGTACCGAAACTCCAAAATCATATATCTTGTTGTTAATTTGTAGTAGGTACCCACCTAACCTATTTATTAACACCAACAAGACACACACTAACAAAAGCATAATAATATAATTACAATAAATAATAAATTCTAAGTGCTGCCTACACACATTTCATAAAAGATAGACACAAATACAAGTAGTGAATTAAAATAAATACAAAAAGTATGGGAATATTATATAAATTAAATTATATATAAATTGAATCAGAAATTAATATTATATGATAATTTAAAACATGCATCATTTCATAATTATACAATCGTTAAACATAACAAAATAAACTCATTAATTTATTGTTCAATGTTGAAACTGACTATTATAATAATATTATTATTTCTTACAAATCTCTAAAAGATACTCTACAGTACACGATATACAATAAACATTCTGTTTCAAAATTTAAGTGTCAATGTGGTTTCATTAAAATATGGGTAAAGGCGGTGTAGTGTATTTGTTCTTTCAGTGATTTAGTTTATAGTAGGTATAATTATGCCAATCAACATTACATTACGGAAAAGTTGAACGAGTACGAGCAGGTTGTTAGAACGAATGCCCAAGATTAAGATAAAAATTGGATTAGGTGCTGACTATTTGAAGTCGACCTATTTGAGAATGACCTCCTTACCGTTCATTTAAATCCTACATATTTTACCTACAGAATTCGCTCTAACAGTGTATACTGTACAATTTCACATTTCACGTCTAGAAGTTTTTATGATGATAATTGTGGACACACGTATCTTTGTCTTATTGGGCACTCCCACTGTGTCGGGGGACGCCGGTTCGTTATTATACAAGGGTGTTTGTTCCGATCGACGTTTGACAAAACTATGGCTTAAGAAAGCTATACAACACTCAGTGCCTCTAACTGGTGCACAAAGAACTCGAACTGGTGAAAAAAATAAAAACATTTTAATGAAAAATAAAAACCGACTACCAGGCACTAAATTGTAAAAAATAACTAAACGGAGGTTTTCATTTAGAATAAATACCTAATCAGATATTTTTGTAGTCGGTGCCAGCCGATGCAAAGCAAATCTAATATATTCCGATACGTAAAATACAAATTTACCTATTAGATATTCATATCTTAAAATATTGTAGGCTGGCACCGACTTCGAAAATGTCTGATCTAAATGAAAACCTCCGTTTAGTTATTTTTTACATTTTAGTGCCTGGAAGTCGGTTCTCATTGTTTGTTAAAAAGTTTTTATTTTTCCATCTTTAGTGTAGATGTAATAAGCAGGTAATTTGTAAGAAGAAAGTTTTTGAATAACATTCGATTAAACAATTTATTTAAAAAAATATTTATTATTAATGTTTTAAAAAACCGCTCGACCGATTTCGATAAAATTTATATGGGACCACCTGGAAAGTATACCCTTTGAAATAAAAAAAAAATTCCAAATCGGTTCAGGCGTCTTCGAGAATTCGGTGAACATACATTAAAAAAAGATTCCGACGAATTAAGAACCTCCTCCTTTTTGGAATTGGAAGTCGGTTAATGAAAAGTCACAGTTGTTTTTGTATATAATTTTATTGAGATTTTAAGCATTCCAAGTTAGAATCACCTGATATAATATTTGTATTTTTTACTTATAAATTGTATCATAATTTTATATTGTGTGTAGTGGCCTCGTAAGCTTCATGCCTGAGCTTTTTATAAGTTTAAACTACTAAAATTCTGAAAAGCTGTTACAAATCTTTTTATACTCTCCACTGAAATCCTCTCGCTGGTTACACGTGTACACTTCACTTGCATTGTATTTAATGAGTGCTCGGATAGTTATTTGGGTCACTCTAAATAATGAAATTAAAAGAAATTTATCTACGAAGGCCTTACTAATAATACATTTACTTTCCTCATTCATTTATCTCTTTCGAATGGCATAGTTTAAGTCGTCCATACATTAAAAAATAGGTATTGTCAACATTTTTGTATAATTTGCCAAAGAATTCTGTTGCTACGATATCAACTAGTTTTTTAAGCGGACACGTGGGTTGAAAGAAATTTTACTTCGAACAAAGGCATTTTGAAATGCTAAACTGCTAACACAAAAATATATAACTTAATGGCTCTTTTAGTGTCTCACAAGTAGTAACGTTGATTGACTTGAAAGGCGTAGGTTGGTGCAAAAATATAAGAATGTTGACGATCGTGGCATGCTAGCACTGACTGACTTATTCTTCTTAATTTCATAAATATAATGCAATGTAGATTCCCTAAATGACATGGCTACTTTTAATTTGGGCGCATTTAGTGATTCCTGTGGATGTTTGTATATTTGAATAAGATACCAAATATCTGTGTGGTGTGGTCGCCGCCATTACTGTATTATATTATGTAACTAGCGACTCACCCTCGCTCCGCTCTGGTTCGTCCCTAGGTGATGCTTTAAATTGACGTTACTTTTTTATTTACGAACCGATTGAAATATAACAAATACTAAATGTTAAGTAAAGCTTACCATAATATATTAATGAAAACCGCATCCAAATCGGTTAAGCCGTTTCTGAGATCAGCGCGCACAAACGCACAGACAAACAGACAAAAATTCTAAAAGTCATTGTTTTGAGTTCTATTGCGTAAATAAAGACCCCAAATGATAGTTTTTCTCAAATAACTTCCCTGTACAGACAGCGACCAGTTACACTTTTATTATATGTATAGTTAAATCACTTCATGCTAGCGACTTACTCTTTATCGGTGTTGTTACTTGGCTTATCTAGGTGCTAAACAGAAGCCTGGTCATACTTCGAGTCATATTCTATCTGTGTTCTACATCTAAATTCAGCCGTTTTAAGCGAGAGGGAGCAACAAACATGCACACACGCACACATACATATATGTACATACAAACCTTCGCAATTATAATAGTGGTCCGATAGTGGAATTATACTTAGAGTTATATTTGTATACTATAGAAGGGGAGATAGAGACAATGCAGCGCGACCAGGCGGTGGCGCGGGTGAGCGCTGCGGTGCGACGGTCGCTCGCGCCGCTCTGCGCGTGGCTGGCGCTGCTACTGGGACTCTACCTCACGTGACGACGACTTACGATACTTGTATATTAGCAGAAACCTTGTACATATAGTTGTAAATAAATTATTAGTGATTTCACATTGTTTCATTAAAGTAACTAGCATAGACATCCAATTTATTATTGAAAATGTATAAGTTTTTTTTTGTTTCGTTTGTTCGTTTGTTACGTTTCTTACTGTTCACTCAGACAAAGATATTGTTTTTTTTTTAAATAATTATTTCCATATTATCTATTAAGCTTTTATGAAAATGTGAGCTCCGAAGAATGTTGATGAACGGGAGGGTAGAGCGCGGGTGAGGGCCGCACGCTGGCGCCGATTATAGCCGCCTAGGAATCAAAGCGTTTCTATGTCGGCTATTTCCCAATCACAATCCGGGCGATAATAGCAGTGGGAGCTACTAGCTTTATTGTTACTCGTATTTAATGTTGATTGACTGAACGACGTTCCGCGGCCACACAATTAAAATAATAGGTACAAGTGTTTGTAAGTCTCCTCATACGCCTGAAGAATGAGGAGACTTAAATGATGAGTATATTATTATTGTATATATATATATAAAATTGGTGGCATGCCATTGAAGATAGTAAAAATAGTAAGTAATATACCATTAATATGTAATTATTTACCGATTAATAAAAACTTTTTAACAAAAAAATAAAAACCGACTTCAAACAAAAGCACTAAAAAGTAAAAAATAACTGATTGGTAGTTTTCATTTACTATATATACCTAATCAAATATTTTCGAAGTCGGTGTGCTTTGCTTTGTATGGGCTGGCACCGATTTTGACAATATTTGATTAGGTATGTATTTAATAGGTAGGCTTTAATTACTTAGCCAAAGCACACCGACTTCGAAAATATTTGATTAGGTATATATATTAAATGAAAACTACCAATCAGTTATTTTTTACTTTTTAGTGCTTTTGTTTGAAGTCGGTTTTTATTTTTTTGTTAAAAAGTTTTTATTTTTCCCTTTTTAGTGTAGACAGTAGTAGCAAAGTAAGAATTCCAACGTGTTAGGCTTGTCAAATCAAACAAAATAAGCCCAAACTCGAAGTATCTACTATTAGCCGTTGAAGAGTTCCACGTATCCATCTTCTGGCCTTACCATCAGATCAGGTCAACAATACCAAACCACTGTACTATCAACGGAAATAGAAACACTTGCAAAGTTTCAAGTCAATATGACAATTAGAAGTAGGTTAAATTCATTATTAGCTATTTTTGCACCCTTAGGGGTGGTATTTTTTTTGAAATTTAAATGGGACCAATCTGGAAGTATACCCTTTCAAACAAAACAAAAATTGTCCAAATCGGTTAATAAATGACGAAGTTCTGAGGTAACAAACATAAAAAAAATACAGCCGAATTGAGAACCTCCTCCTTTTTGAAGTCGGTTGAAAATTGAAAATAAAGTAGGTATCACATAATTCTATTAAGATGACAACAAGATTAATGAGTTGTAGCAAATAATATTAGATTATTATTAACTGCAACTTGTAATGTAAGAGACACGCTGTTATTAGCGAGCGTCGCCGGCGGCGGATGCGAGTGCATGCGCCAAGTATAGCATTCCCGAACGAGCGCGCTATTAGTGGCTAGCTATAAGGCGTTGGTTTGTTTGTAGTGCAATGAGTTCCTGCGCATACGCTACTTGGCCCGTTCACATATTGTCGTTACGGCTTTGTTTCTAGATAATTGACACGATTTACATTTTATGTATGTGACAAATGCTCTAGGAAGATAATAAGCGATTTATTACCAAAATATATTGAATAAATAAATCTATAAAGATAAATAAAATTGAAAAACATTTTTTTTATTTTTTGTCTGTCTGTTTGTTCCGGATAATCTCTGAAACGGCTGGACTAATTTTGATGCGACTTTCACTGGAAGATAGCTGATGTTATGGAGAGTAACATAGGCTACTTTTAGTTTAGAAAAAGAATTAGGGGTTCCCCTCAGAAAAATATACTAATATTATCTTATATATAAAATTTCCATGCCACAATGTTTGTTACCGTACTCCTCCGAAACGGCTTTACCGATTTTTACCAAATTTTATATGCGTATTCAGTAGGTCTGAGAATCGGCTACTATCTATTTTCCATACCCCTAAGTGATAAGGATAAGGGTGGTCCTCCCAGACCCCACCCCAGGGACGAACCCGAGCGGAGCGAGGGTGAGTCGCTAGTTTATTAATAAATAAATTATAAATGTGAAAGTGTGTTTGTTTGTTTGTCTTTCTTTCACGTAGAAACGAAGTGACGTATTGGTAAGAGGAAGGCTGGAGAGTGACATAGGCTACTTTTTATCTTATTCCCACTGGAAAACACGTTATAATACAATCAAAAAAGTAATTTGTGATCAGAATTACTTAAAACTTGGTATTAATGTTCTTCAATACAAATACATAAATACGTGTTTTAGCATTTTTCGAAATTCATCCTATAAGGAGGTAAAATAGGGAGTGGAAATTTTTATGAAACCTATGTAGGTAACCTACATTTTTAGAGATTTTTTCATAGTTTTAGCGCGAGCGAAACCGCGGGTTCTGCTAGAATATTATAAAATTAAAAAACCCAACTGCATAAAAGCCAACTGAAAAGATAAATACAAGTTCACGAAGGAATATTATAGTATTATGCAGTCGGAGACATACACGTTTCATCCTTGCCGCGAGATGTACATACTCGTATGTATGTCTCTGAGTTCTGACATGTATGTATGAGAACATTCTTTCATCGAAATTGTCATGGGCACATCGTACCGAATTATCGAGGAATTCCAGTGACATTCTGATGGGTCAATCAAAACTGTGCGTATATAAAAATAAACATTATTTATATGATATTAGTAGCATATTGCTAATGTGCTAAGACGCGTGTACATAGCGAGGGCAGGGTCTTGAACTGATGTTTAGTCTATATCTATACTGGTTCAGTAAAAAAATGTTTAATTAAATCGAACCGTTTTGTCTTCGTGTGTCAATGAAAGCTCGTTGAGAAAAAAATATTCCGAACAGAACATCGCGTGTCCGTAAATAACTCGGAATTGGACAGTTTCGTCAATTACACGCGGCTGAGATTTTGTTTGCTCCGGCTTTAGAGTTACGACGCATTAGTTGCCATCCGATGGAGCTTTTTAACAACAAATAATTTTAAAATCGAGGTTAATTTCTTACGATTTAGGCCTCGACGCCATTATAAGTAATCCAAAGGTACTCCTGGCGTCGTTCTTCGTCTATTTATGAGTCGCATCGAACATTATAAAGGAATTACTGTAATATTTCACAATTAAACACATGCATGTTAATCTTCATACGCCTTTTTTACAAGAATACAAAATAATATTGAAAACAATTATAGCCATATGATTTTTTTCTATCTATCGTAATTTTTTGTATAATATTTAATCAATTGAATTATAGCCTTTTGAATATTACAATGGTAGTATTTTACATTATAGAAAATTGCTTTATAGCATCACGTCACCAGGAAATTACAATTAGTTCTATGATTATGGCGGAGATTTTAAATAACACAAGTAAACGAGTAATGTACGTAGTTTCAATTACTATAATAAGTACATAGAGCATATTATGTAAATGGCATGCGAGTTGGCAGCGGAGGCGAATCTGCCGCGCGGCGTCGTGACGGAGCTCGGCAAAAAATGAGGCTTGTGACTCGGGAATAGATTTATATTTTATAATATCTACCTCATGGACGAGCTGGTGTGCTGTGCATTTGATGCCAGTCGCTAAAATGAGTTACACAACACTTGTTTTAATCACACATTATATATTTTGCACTGATATTGAAAAAGCTTTAGTTTACGATAATTTTCGTAAAATTGATCTATTGCGAATTTTACTCGTAGTTTGAAGAGAGAGAGTTTTGTATATTATATGAATTCAAAAGAGTTTAAGGAATTAAGGTCTAGGCTAGGTAGTATGTACATTCAGAGATAAGATAGCTCCCTATGTCATAGCCGATAATATTCATACATTAATGAAATAATTATATTGTGCATTATTACTTGTACGATCAATTATGTAATATTTAATATTAGATTTATTACTTGTCTTAAAACTACTAGGTATTTTTAAACTGCTGAAGAAATCTGTGTTATAAACATACGTATTATGTATTTCTATATGATTATTAAAAAAAGGTTCTAGAATTATCATTAAAATATCAGAAATTGCATCCGAAGTCATAAGAAGAACTTGTAATTTATAATAATTATCAAATTCTGATGAATTTTATTTCCACTTAAGTGTTACTGCAAGTCATGCTCTATCGGCTCTTTTGCACTTAACAGATACTAATTCGAAATGAGCTTCTTCCGTCTTTTTTACTTTGAGTGATTTAAATCTTTGTTGTGAATATTATGTTGTCGAGAGTCATCATGACGTGCTCTTTTGTTGGCGCCTCGTCCCGACTCCCGACTCCCGACTCCCGGGGCAGTGTTACATTGATACTTTAGTTACCTTATTAACTTTTGCATGTTAATTAATCTATTTAATTCTATAAAAATAAATAAATAATAAACTATTACTTAGTTACGTTTACTAACGAAAAAGTTGATCTAGAGTTTTTTTTTAAAAAGATATTTTTAAAAATTTTGACATGCTCTTCCCGATATTTTGCTATGCTTCGTCGTATTTTATCACTCACCATATTAATAAAATTGCACCAGTTTGTTGACTTCAAAATGATTTTTGAATTCAAAGAAACACATAATATAGGGCATGTATGTAAATATAAAATTCAGTTTAAATAGAACCACCAAATTGACTATGTATTGATTTGTTTGTTGTTTTACCGTTAGTGTTAGTGATAAATGAAAATTTATATATTCATGTAATATATATGTCGTGTTATCCATATACTACGAACATCATCTTTAGTGGTTACTCATCTTGTGGGCGTTATCAGGGCGCAAATAATAAAGTATTCAGTGCTCAATACACAATTTAATCAGGGAAGTCACAAT